AGCACTATATAAATAAAGGTGACTTGACTTGACTTAAACATAATATTCTCAATTAACGATTAGCTAGAATAGAACAAATAATTATATTGCTCCAGATTCTCAAAACGGACACAAGACACAAGTTACAAACACAGACACAAGACAGACACAAAAAATCGTATAAAACATATTGACAGCTTCTAAGAAAAATATTATGTATACTAAGCTTTAAATTACAATTGAAAAGCATACTTTTTAAAATCCAGCTCTACATAAAAAAATAACACAACATTTTGACATTCTTACTTAACGATTAGTTAAAATCCAACGAATAATTCACATTTCACCCGATCTTCAGTTACAAAAAACGGAGCTAAATTACAAGAAATTAATATAAAGCATATCGACAGCTTCTATAAGAAATATTATTACGATTGGCTAGAAATGCATACTTTTTTTAATTCAGCTCTAGATAACTTAAAACATTTTGACATTCTTAATGATCATTCTTACTTAATGATCCTGAGCAACTGTATCACTGTCTGGTTTGGTAACTGCACCATCACAGATCGCAAGACCCTGCAGCGGATAGTGAGGACAGCTGAGAAGATCATCGGTGTCCCTCTTCCCTCTATCTCAGACATTTACACCACACGCTGTACTCGTAAAGCCATCAGCATTGCGGGCGACCCCACACACCCCTTTCTTAAACTTTTCACCCTCCTGCCATCTGGCAGGAGGAACAGAAGCATTCGGGCCCTCACAGTCAGATTGCGTGACAGCTTCTTCCCCCAAGCCATCAGACTCCTCAACTCCAGAGGACTGTGGGGATAAGAACTCATTCACACACTGGACTGATTTGAACCACTCTCACACACATCCCAATCTATTGTCTACCTCCACACAAACAATTTTGCACATTTTTGCTGTCTGCACGGTTCTCTCAGTATGCACACATGCACTTTATGTAGTCTGTGTTAAACGTTTACAGTTCTTATTTTATAGTCAGTTCTTTTTTTTCTCTTAGTACTTTTTTTTTTTAGTCTTCTTAGTTCTTAACTTTTTACTTAGCCTATTTAATATAATTTAATTATGTCCAGTTTAATTTCTTTGTAGTCCTGTTCTCTGTGTTTTTGTCTATGTAGCACCTTGGTCCTGGAGAAACGCGGTCTCGTTTCACTGTATGCTAACTGTACAGAGCTGGAATGACAAAGCTACTCTGACTCTGATTAGTTAAAATCCAACGAATAATCTTCACCCATCTGACAGGAGGTACAGAAGGATTCGGGCCCTCACAGTCAGATTGCGTGACCGCTTCTTCCCCCAAGCCATCAGTCTCCTCAACTCCAGATGACTGAGGGGATAAGAACTCATTCACACACTGGACTGATTTGAACCACTCTCACACACATCCCAATCTATTGTCTACCTCCACACAAACAATTTTGCACATTTTTGCTGTCTGCACGGTTCTCTCAGTATGCACACATGCACTTTATGTAGTCTGTGTTAAACGTTTACAGTTCTTATTTTATAGTCAGTTCTTTTTTTTCTCTTAGTACTTTTTTTTTTTAGTCTTCTTAGTTCTTAACTTTTTACTTAGCCTATTTAATATAATTTAATTATGTCCAGTTTAATTTCTTTGTAGTCCTGTTCTCTGTGTTTTTGTCTATGTAGCACCTTGGTCCTGGAGAAACGCGGTCTCGTTTCACTGTATGCTAACTGTACAGAGCTGGAATGACAAAGCTACTCTGACTCTGATTAGTTAAAATCCAACGAATAATTCACATTTCTCCCGATCTTCAGTTACAAAAACTGAGCTTAAATCACTAGAAATTAATATAAAGCACATCAACAGCTTCTATAAGAAATATTATGCGCGCACACACTAAGCTATGACTTCAAATTAATGGGGCATATATGTTTTTACTGTGGGTGTTCGATCCCCAGAGCACTGGTTTGTACAGTATAAAAACCAATACACCTATGGAATGAGCCCATAAAACATGAAAACCTGTGTGTGTGTGTGTGTGAGAGCCAGTAAATTGCTAAAGAAGCAGCTTGTGTTCCTGACAGAGTGGCATTTGATGTTTGACTGTAATGAAGTCAGAACATCACAAAACATTCTGTCTAAAGCAAATGGCACTACAGTCAGGATTCAGTTCTGACCTCAAAGATCAAGAGTACTAGTTAAGAGTGGTTCGATTTACAAATCTCAGTGATCTTGGCCAGAAAAATCAGCACAAGACCAGCTTCAAACAAAATATTTCATCATGAATGTCACCATTTTCTGACCAACAGCAAAAACATGACAACTGAGAAAAACAGTCTGCAAACAGTTTCAGCATTTGCTACCAATCCTTCTTTATTTATAATAAAGGAAAAGCAAGTAGGCCATTTAGCGAGAAAGACATGGAGTGTTTGCTAGTGCAGTTCGCATGACAGGAGCAGGCGACGGCATCTGACGTCTTTGGTCCACACCGGAGCAGAAGGAACGAGACGGTGAAAGCACATGACTGAAGGCACTTGATTACAGCGGTCTCAGATCATTTTGGGGGAAAAAAAAAAACCAAACGAGTTTCTCTCTCTCTCCATATACAAGGAAGAACAGAAGTTGCTTGATAACAGAGTTCAATCAGAGAACTAAAAATCACACTACATACATGGCCGGAGGCTACAAAACATTATACATATAGTTTACATATATACAGGATTGAGCAGAGAAGAGTGCTGATCATCATGACATCAAGCTTTCAGAAATAAAAGAGACACAGACAGATTAAATGTCAGCAAAACAATCCAGACAGAAGAGCTTTCCTGATCAAACACACAGACGTTTGTCAATCTGATATCCCAGCATGCAAACGTAAGCGCAGATGCTTTCCAAACGGAGTCTTTCAGAAAGGCTAAAGGAAGCTGACGTTGAGCGCAGAAGAACAGCGCAGTGTGAAATGAGGCCTTGAGAGCGGATGAATGTGAGGTATATCGTGAGCGTGAAGACTCGTGCTTTAGCACACACTGGCTTCAATCGATGACAACGTGACTAACTAAAACAAACTACTCGCAGCCCACTAGAACAAACTCTGCCTGCCGCCTTAGTGTTGATCATCTGAGAATCGCTTTCCTCGACTCTGACCGTTTGAAAGAGGAAGCCCACGAGCAAACACTCACCACAGGAACTACTGAGACTAACACTGAACTCTAATGTGACAGACAGGTGTGAAAGAAGAGCAAGACAGAAGAGTGAAGAGCAGAAGTCGAGCCGCAGCTCAACTGATGTAAACTTGACTTTCTCTTCATTGGACAGCTGTGTGCGTGTGGGGCATCACGGGCCGTGCGTCCGCGGCTGCCTCTGTGGAAGCCCGTTGTGGGCGGGTCGATCTGAGCGATAGCCTGAGGAGTGGGAGGAGCCTCTCGCGCTATTGGTCGGCTGAGAGTTGAGGTCGCTCTGGTGACCGCGCTCTCCCTGATAGCGGTAGCTGCTTCGGCTGGGGTTTCGCTCGGCATGCGTGTTTCCGTTATATCGCTGATTGCCCTGGTAACCGTGAATGATGCGCCGGTTGCCCTGGAAAATCTGCAAGGCAGAGAGACAAAGGTCAGTTCAGCAGGAGCACACGACTGCCGCGGTACACGAGCGCATGCGATTGATCACCTGTTTGTGTGGCACGCTGGGACGGCCCGTGTAAGCAGAGGCCTGAGGATGCTGGAGCTCAGAGGGAGGCGGGGCTTTGGCAGGGGTGGAGCCTGTGACCGAGGAAGAGGTGGAGCTACAACGAGAACGGCTGGAGTAGCCCGTCTGAGGATGATACACTACAGACAGACAGAGACGATCAGTCATCTCAACACTTCGCGTGTCCGTTTATATGGAACAAACACAGTTATGATCAGGGTTGCCAGGTCCCAGCCCATATCAATATTGAGCAGATTAAAATGCTATATCAAATTTGTTTTTCATGGTACATTATATAAGTAGCCCAAAAAAACTCAACCCTCGGCTCTCTCATTTTTCCTCGCAACTGCATTTTCAAAACAGCCCAGTTGTGCGGGAAAACCGTGACTCTGGCAACACTGTTCCCGTTCATTGACCCACCTGATCCAAATGACATGATGCTGCACTTCAGAGGCTCCAGTTCATGGGAGAATTTCACAGCTTTACCAAGATCCTCGTCATACTTGCGCTCACTGACAAAGTGCTGGAGAGAGAGCATTAGACAGCAGTAAATGAAGCGTGATGATTTACATGGTCACTGCTGTGTGAGTGAGTGTGTGTGCGTGTGTGAGAGAGTGCGTGTGTGAGAGAGTGCGTGCGCGAGAGAGAGTGCGTGCGCGAGAGAGAGTGCGTGCGCGAGAGAGAGTGCGTGCGCGAGAGAGAGTGCGTGCGCGAGAGAGCGTGCGTGCGCGAGAGAGAGTGCGTGCGCGAGAGAGAGTGCGTGCGCGAGAGAGAGTGCGTGCGCGAGAGAGAGAGTGCGTGAGAGAGTGCGTGAGAGAGCGTGTGTGTGTACCTTGATGTCAGCCCGTAGTTCAGCGAGCTGCTCCTCTGTCAGTGATGCTGATTTGTCAGCCAGTCTCCTCAGCTCCTCTGCTCTTTTCTGACGGCCATCCAGAATCGCCACTGTCACAGAAACACAGGCCTGATCAGCCTCACCAAACAGCATGAACACACAGTGATCTCTCAGTGACTGTATTGGGAGTCTCCCTCCGCTCAATGACACACATGATTCTGAGCCAGTCTGCATTAAATGCGGTTTATTTGGACATACACAGACGCCGCTGCTTTGGACAGGCGAGGTAACGTCCAAGAAGCGCCAGCATGAAAACAATGACACTGGGTTTGTTTTAATGCAGTGTCGGCTTCTTTGGCTTTTTTCATGGTGAACACCATACTTGAGTTATTAAATATCTTGTTTGATTTCTGTAAAACATTTTAAGACCCATTTGTTTTGTCCAGTTGACAGACAATGGCCTCTGATGTTCTCCTTATAAGAGTAAAAAGTTCTTGTCAAAACAGAGTTGACTTCATTTAATTTAAGCACTCATCCCATTCCAGTGCCATTAATTTTTGACATGCACATTGCACTGTCACTGGGAAAAGAATGGGGTGGCAGGGCCGGCCCGTCACATAGGCAAAGGCTAGGGGCGCCCAAATGTTTTTTTTTTAATTTTTTTTAAATATTTTAATTAGGGGTGCACTATATATTAAAATATAATTTATATCGCATTATAGCTTAATGCCTTAGTCATATCGCGAAGGTTGCGATTTAATATAAAAATACCAATGTTCTGCAGTTTTCAGAGAAGCGGGTAATGTGTTCGAGTGCAGCCCATGACACGCAGCGCTTCACTCTGAAACATGCAGCGCATTATTTATTTGCTGGCAAACCACCAAAATAAAAGCAGTTTAATATTTGAATTTGAGCAGAGATGCACCGATCGACCATAAATCGGAACCGGACGGTTTTTGTTTATTTATTTCAGAGTCTGCAAACTCAAAGAGGAGAATACATTAGCAGGCAGAGCAAGCTCACTGTTCACAATGCGTGAAGCATGAATGTATCTCTGAGGGGAACGGACTGTCTTAAGAAACAGTTTAGATGGCATTTTCCTTTCATCTTGCCTCTGTATAATAATGCATTTAGTGTTTACAGCGGTAATCAAGGAAGCAATGCATCACTGCTGTTCCTTATGCGCCACCTGCTGGCAGAGAGTGAATTAGCATTTTCATTTAGCCCATCTGCTGTTTATGTTTTGTGTAGCCTAATTTCACAAAGCTAAAGTCAGACTGTTTTTGCTTCAGGATGTGAAATCATAGTTTAATTTAGATCAAAACATAGGCTAATGAAGCAACTAACCATATTGTTCATGCACTTATATTTTCATTCTTTCTTGTCTTTTGCTTAAATAAAATACATTAAAAATCTGTATTGGATTCTGCCATGAAAAGTTAAGATCAGTGTATTCCTAAATTTATGAATGTCTGAAATGAAGAAATTAAGATTTAAATGTTAGTATTGTAGCTGCCTTAAATAGCTAGCAGAGTTATTGTCAGTTTATTTATTTATTGTGCAACTGTCATATTTATTTCATATGTAATTTGTTTTATGTCATAAAGCTATGCAGTTTCTGTGTGAATGATCGGTGGGGGAATTGGCTGCGATACAAGGGGCACCAGCTAAAACCTTGCCTAGGGCCGGCCCTGTGGTGAGGATCTGAAGTCTGAACGACAGACGGACTGATTCTGTGTGTGTAGCTGTGCTGTCGCTCTACTCACTGGCTTCGGCTTTGACTTTGTCCATCTCAGTGAGCAGCGTCACCTCTCGATCCATGAGACTGAACAGAGAACAGGAACCGTTAGAGACAAACCCATCTCATGCTGAATAAACACTGAGATTATTCACTCAGATGACTAAAGTGCTTGAGTTTTGATTTTCTAATCTGTATTATGATCATGGTTAAATGTTTTTTGTCCTTTTCCTGATTTTAATATGTTAACTAATCATATAAGCCTGATTTATTACATGATTCCAAGCAAAATATAGGCAAATGATTTATTAAACGGTGCATTCAGTAGTTTGGTGCCGATTTAAATGTCATCTGAATGGTGTACATTCACATGAGATGAAGACTCAATAGTGCTTTCACTGTACTTTACATAAAACTCAGAGACCATTTAACACCATTGCGGTAACGGTACTTAAAATACAAGAATGGCAATGCTAATGCTAAGCCAAAGAACTACTGATTGCACCTTTAAGGCCCAAACGCCTAACTGTGACAGCATTAAGTGTGTGTGTGTGTTTGTGTGTGTGTACACTTGTTTTGACTATACTTGTGAGGGCCAAAAGTGAAATCCTTTGAGACATTTGACTGGTCCTAACCAGTTCAAAAGGCTTATAAATCAGCTAAAAGATGATGTTGATGTAAATCTAGTGTTGTGCACATGTTTGTTTCATGGGTAAGTTTAAGGTTAGGACTTAGGGTTAGTCATGTCAAGTCAGCTTTATTTCTACAGCGCTTTATACAATACTGATTGTGTCAAAGCAGCTTTACAGTGTCAAACAGAAAAATAGTGTCAATAATGCACAAGGACAATGGAAGACACTCAATTTTCTAGTTAAAGTCAGTTCATCATTGATTCAGTGATGTCATCATCCAGCTCAGTTCAGACAATATAGCCAGAAAGCTTATAGAAAATACCATTAACCTGATAGAAAATCAATGAGTTTATGCAATGTCCTCACTAAGACACAAACATGAGTGCGTGTGACTGCGTTTATCGGTGTGTGTGTGTGTGAGTGAGTGAGTGAGTGAGTGAGTGAGTGAGTGAGTGAGTGAGTGAGTGAGTGAGTGAGTGAGTGAGTGAGTGAGTGAGTGAGTGAGTGAGTGAGTGAGTGAGTGAGTGAGTGAGTGAGTGAGTGAGTGAGTGAGTGAGTGAGTGAGTTACCAGCTTTGCAGCTCAGCAAACGTCTGCTTCATGCTCTTGATAGAGGAGTCCATGAGTGAGTGAGTGAGTGAGTGAGTGAGTGAGTGAGTTACCAGCTTTGCAGCTCAGCAAACGTCTGCTTCATGCTCTTGATAGAGGAGTCCATCTCGTCTCTCACCACGACTCTATAGCGGGACAGTGACGCTGCACATCGCTGCAGGTCCTTCACGGAGCGATCAACGTTAGGCCCTGAGAAAACAAACACTAGATCTCCACAAAGCGTCTCGTAAACACACAAGCACTTTTAACAGTGCATGAGCCCCAAAACCTCCAGCCATCGGGTCCCGCACAGAATTAAACATCTGGGACCAGTCAGAGGTTTGGACACACTTTTCACTAATGTACATCTCTTGAAAGCAGTGTTCCTCCTTCACCAGTGTTTAAAAGCCTCATGATGATGACGACAATGCAATGTAATGTAAAATGTGTGTCTTTTCCTGTCACAATTTCTGTCAATCCTAATTCACAGCAGTACTTAAGGAGCATTTATGTGAAACGCATGACTTTCCCTGGAACAAAAAAGGATAATGCTGCTCTCATTTTCCATTCACTTTTACAGTACATATTAAAAGGCACACAATGACAGTGAGAAGTAATCCTTTAATCTTAATATAGCTTATAAATTTAAGCTTCAATCCCTTGTAAAAACAAGCGTCAGCGTTAAAATAAACAGTAGACGAGGTCAAATAGCTTTCAGTCATGCAAACGTAAAGTCACTCATCTGAACAATTATAAAGGTTATGAAATTAATGCTTTACATTAACTTGACTCCAGCTACACAACAGTCTCTCTCACAGCAGGTTTTTCACTTTAAATTTAACACTCCAGTGTCTCTGCAGGTTTTATGACGGTAGATTCAAGACCTTTAAGACCAAGTGAAGAAAATTTAAGGGATAAATTTAATGAAAATCAATTCATCAATAAGGTCTCTAAATGTAAATGTCTTGTTTTTGCAACACTTCAAAGTTTGACAAAACAAATGATAACTTCTCCTGTACACTGCAAAAAGTGCTGTTCTTCCTCAGTATTTTTGTCCTGTTTTGCAGTGCAAATGTCTAAAGATTCTTGAATCAAGACATTTATACACGATCTTGTTTTCTGAGAAATTGATCAAAATGAACTTGAATGAGTTTATGATTAAAACAAGAACCGATCTCAGGAAGCTCAGACTCTCTGTACTGATGTTTCTGTCGGCTCTCCTGTGGTCCGTGCGATTGCTGACGTGAAATGCAATGTAAAATATTTTAATAACAGTACTTCACTATTTTTCTTGAGCATTATTTTGGGGTATCTGTATTTTACTTGAGTTCTGATAAACCGAAAAACTTTTACATTTACAATAGAAAAAAATACAATTTCAAGTACAAAGTAAATTTGCAATCATGATTTTCCTCAAAGAATCAAACATTAAAATAGTATTTTTCTTTATTGTAACATGAATAACAGGCCGATCACGCTAACCCACGGTCACATAAGTTTAACTTTCCTTTTATTTAAGCAGCCAATGAAACGGCTGGAAGACCTCTACTCCGTGCCACACAGACGTTAATTTAGTCTTCGGTCATGTGTGAAGCAGACAGGGAGACGAACGCAGACCGATCAGTCTCATGACGATACAGAAACTCTTACCCATCTTTCTGCCGGCAGGACCTCGCTGTGTGTCGCTGGACAGAACGGGCACAGAGGGATTATGGGAGCTGGAAACAGGCTTGGCTTGAGACTTGTTACTGGTTCTGTGATGGTTCTGTCGCTCTCCGTTATTGGTGCTGGGCTGAGGGGCGGGGCTTGATGTGGATGCCACGCCTCCACCTGCAGCAGAGGAAAGAAGGGCGGAGTTAAACCCCTAATCACCGCTCAAACACCTGAAGGGCATCACCTGCTCTCCTCAAACACACCTGTGGCCTCTGAAACCTCAGGGGCAGCAGTTTCTAAGTCGAGCTCCGCGGCGTCCAGGGAGGCGGAGTCCAGCTGCTCGCTCAGAGAATCCAGCGAATCACCATCAGCCGCTGCTGAACCGTTGGCATGGAAACCATTAACAGCTTCCTGACACTCAGCGTCTGGAGTCGATTCAGCAGGAGTAGAGTCTGTGGGAATGTCTGTTTGTGCTTTCGGCTTCTTTTTCTTCTTGGGCTGTGAGCAACAGAGCGAACGCAAGCAACAGTTAAACCTTTAAAACATTCATTACTCAACTCGGGTCACAGACACACATTTAAACTGCATGTTTGGTGAAGCTTGTTCCCTCACCTTCTTTTTCCCAGTGACATTCCACTCCTTCAGGATCTCCACAGCCCCGCCTGACACACACACACACACACCCCGAGGTTACAGTCACGTCACACACGGGACACACACACTGCCTCCTATGAGACCTGCATGAGGGCACTGGGTGTGTGTGTGTTTGTTTCTTTCCCTTTTCTTTGCCAGCTTCTATGGCTATATTCATGGTTTAGTTCATTAAAAGTAAAACTAAATAAGATGTTTAAAAACCTTTTTAAAAGTGTCTGTGTGTGTTTGTACCTTCCACAAACGCCTGCACCGCTCGATCCACGCTGTTCTCGAAGTGCTGCAGCACCAGAGCGATCTCATTATTGCTCTTGTTGGGAACCACGGCTCGCACGGCGTTTATCTGGCGAGAGCCAAAACATTGAGTGAGTCGAGCCCGAGATTCACAGGAAAGAGTAAAAGCACTGACATAAAGAGCACATCACCATCATTAACAGCCAGACAACGGAAGAAAAGCCATGTGTACCTTTTCCTTCATCTTCTCGAACGATCCTCCTTGAGACATGACCATTTTCGAGTGCGTGTCGAACACCACTCCGGACACATCTGGAGAAAGAGGAGGGAGGAGAGACAGAGAGATTTCCACGTGTTCAGTTCTGAAACTTGACTTCAACAGCGCAGAAAGTCTTGGCAGAGGATCTTGGTTAAAGCTTTTCTCCAAAAATATGTAGGTCAAGAGAAGAGCCAGAGAGAGACAGCAGCAGAATGGGGAACGATCGCACAGACCTCATTTCAGGATTGGTTATTACATTCAGAAAAACTAGCACACTAAATGAAGTCTCTAGAAACAGCTCTCCTCAATTCCACTAGCAGTAAAACTAGAACAGAGGCAAATATAATCACAATTCCACTTTAAAGTGGTCTAATAGCTTAACTTTCAGGCACAAAATAAAAACATTACTCAGTTTAGAGCAGCATTACAGTACGAATCCACTGTATGGTTTGTTTCCCAGTTTGTAGTAACGCAGACCACTAATTAAGCAACAGACGTGATCGTTACTGAAGGTCAAACTCTCTATTATACGTTTGCAGAAATCAGAACCGCACTGAGACAAATGAAGCACTCAAACATTCTCTTATCACTCCACACTGCCTGACGTTACGTCTGATTTATCTTCATATCTTTATTTGTCGTTTAGTTTATTTTTTACATTCATTTTCAGTAGGGGTGGGAATCACCAGAGGCCTCACGATACGATATTATCACGATACTTGTGTCACGATACAATATTATTGCGATTTTAAATATATTGCGATATTCTGCGATATATTGCAATTTATTCACATTAAATTCAATGCATTAACGTTTGCCTACAAAACCACCACTGGCTCTGCACCCATTTACCTAAATTCATTACTTCAGAGTTATGTGCCTCTAGAAGCTTGCGTTCTGCAAGTGAACGTCGCTTTATTGTTCATCCCAAAGAGGCTCAAAATCACTTTCACAGACTTTTACATTAACTGTTCCCTCCTGGTGGAATGACCTGCCCAACTCAATCCCAGCAGCTGAGTCCTAGCCATCTTCAAGAAACGACTAAAAACACATCTGTTCCATCTTTATTTGACCCTCTAACTCTAGCACTCTCTATTCTATTTTAATTCTACTTTAGCTATATATATATATATTTTTTTTTTAAACAAAAAACAAACAAACACTAGCTTTCTATTTTTTCTATTCCATCTACTTGTTTTTCTTTGTGTGTGTGTGTGTATATGTGTGTGTGTATCGCGCAGTGACGAGGATGACGAGGAGTGCGCGCTGAACACTGCGGGGCAGGGCGGGGCGCGATGCGCCGCGACATATATTATTATTATTATTATTATTATTATTATTCAAGCGATTAGTCAACAGAAGAGACAGACGGCTGCACGTGAGTGTCCTGCATAATACTTGTTTATAGATCTGCTGTTGGAAGTGTTACTTGCTGCTAGGAAGGAATATTTCGTTTTCTGCCTATTTCTCTCTTTATTTATTCCTTCTCTTTCTAGCTTGTACTTATACGAGGATCATTTTCATTTTAAAACATAAACGCACCAGTGTAAACTACACTACACTACAGCCTCACGTGTGCGCCACATCTCTAAGAGCGCCTGTGTTGAGCTCGTCCGTCTGCACTCATCCGCGGTTGAGTATACTTTGAAAGCTGTGCGGACACGGCTGAGCGCGAGACGGAACGCGGAAAGTGAAGTATACCCGGGCCTTTATTGGCTCACTGACGGTGATTAGATTAACCCCTTAGGTATCGAAATTTGGTACCGAACGACGAGACGTTTTTAGATACTCGATGGTATCGAGGCAATTCGGTCGGTGCCTAAAAAGTATCGAACTCGATACCCAGCCCTACATATTGGTGGCATATTCGCCGATACCGATATATCGGCGACAGGCTCATATCGGCCGATAATATCGGCAAAACAATATATCGGTCGGGCTCTAGTATCGATACAGTATTGCCGCGGAAAATATCGCGATACTATGCTGTATCGATTTCCCCCCCACCCCTAATTTCCAGTATGTTTGTCCTTTCCATCTCTAACTGCACAGGGAGTCAGAATTACCATAATGACCCTTATAGTATATTTTTTTAGAGCAAACTAGCACATCGATCTGAATTACAGTCGGTCTGTGAAGTGGCAAATGCTTACGGTTTCCCATAATTCACGCTTCAGTGAGGCGATATCATGCTTCAAGAGCAGCGCTGGACAGAATGTAATCAAACACTAAACTCTCAGACAAATGTGACTTCTGTCCCTCATCCAGCAGCGCTTAAAAGTGCATTTCTGTCTGTGCTGGTGCAGGCTGCTTTACGAAACTAGAAAAATAAAATACACAATCAATCCGTGAATATTAGACGGCTCGTACAGGTGTTATACAGAGAGATTGTTTGGTAAGGGCCATCATCTCTCTTCATTCAGAATGAATCTACCATAACATTCCTGCCCAATCTCTCTTCACGACGTCCAGAGCTTCGGTCACATCATCTCACAGCAGAAAGGACATGATCTGACAGCAGTTCCCAGATCAGTGACTAAAGGATGATCGTTACCCATGAGCCCTCAAACTACACATGAACATCCAGTCTGAACTTCCTGTCACATGATACAGGTGAGGCGTCTGATAAAGAACAACAGATTCTGACTGAAGGCCCAGCCGATCTGCAAGATAACCAGATAACCGACCGCAGGTTTACTATCAGCAGAAGTTAGCGGAGCAGATTTTCATGTTAATTCTCACAGGAATCTGTGAAGCTGCAGCGTGAGTCACTGTACGTCACTTTGACTGGATTTATCCAAACTACGCTATCTACTTTCCACGGCTGCACCATAATGACAAAAATCATAGATGTCAATTATTCCATTGTAATTGTGATTAATAATTACGATTATCACAATCAACATTGAATGATGTCTTGAATAGCTTTATATCATTGTTTGAAGCAACTGCATGCCATATTTAATATGAAAATAAGCTGAAAACACTCTTCCTGAAAAACGTATTGCTTTTCTATAGAATTATGCCTCAAATATCAACTATACATTGATTTGGTTTCTTCTTTAAATAAAAAAAGTAAAATATGCATGGTGTTATAATGTTATACTAAAACTAAAATTTAAAAAATGGAAAAAAAAACAACCTGTAGAAAGAAAAAAAACATCTTAAGTGCAAAATAATTTAAGTGGACTCTTGTGCCTTTACATAATTGTGGCATCCGTAATTGTAATCACGATTAGAAATTAAATTAATTGTGCAGCCCTACTGGTTTCCATTACTCCAGGTTAACTCACAATAGTTCTCCGTCGCGGGAAAGCATCTGTGCGTGGATCTCCCTCCGAGCAACATTTCTCAAGCTCTCGAGCGGTGAAACTGACGAGACGGCAGAAATATCAGCCATAAAGACACGCGACGCAGCGAGGAGCGGTTTAATCAGGTCAAAGGCTGCTGAAGATGCTCACAGTTCTGCTGCTTCCAGCTCCTCGATCAGAGTTCAGCGATCTGCAAAGTCATGAAAATCCAAAGATTTCATTTGGCAAACTAAACCAGAGACTGCGGACTGAGCGACTCAACTGCACCAGAAGCGTTAAAGAAACGTTTCATCAAAAGTAGTCTGGTCTTTGACATGATTTGTGCTTCTACCAAAGACTAAAAGCCCAAAGATCAGCAGTCCTCGAGCATTCAGATGAAGAGTCGCACTGAACAGCAGAGCACTTCTGCTTCAGAAACAGACCTCAAACTACGAACACAAACGATGCTAACGGCGCTTTCGTGTTCTCAGGTTTCTAACAACAGAATCAAAGTCTCAAATGTAACAAAACTACTTAAATTACTCTGTCACTGCCATGAAAGCATTTGCTCAGGAACAACATACATACTTATTTAAACATACAAAGATTTAAAAACAAATGAATTAAATTACAGAAAAAGTGCAAAAGCAGTTCAAGTTGTTCCAACAACAAAGTTCACTGTAAAACAAAGAAACATGAAGAAAAACGCCCAGATCTACCATGATGTTCTGAATCCGATTTTTCTGTCCGGTTCTTAAATCCTGAATTTAATACGGCTGCCAAACGTAGCAGTGTGTATCTAGTGCAATGAAAAATATAACTTATTCAAACTGTGAGTGGGTTATAAACAGAAAGTGAGCAAAAAGCGCTGCCTTTATAATCACTCGTGCCATTACTCCAATACGACAGATTATCTGTTCACACACACACAAGCAGCTGCCCTCCAGACGCTAAAGAGGAGTGAAACTGGCACGAGGTCTAAACTTTTAGCATTATCGCAACATGAGACATTCCCTATGTTTACTTCATCAGAATAAGTATGGAGATAATATTACTGATACTCAGTATTACTGAAGCCATATGAACCGAATCGTATTTGGAGATCGCTCACCTTTATAACCGCTCTTCCTCGCCATCCTCCTCTTCAGTCAGTCGCAATTCTGCAGGAACAGAAAATATCTGAAGTTTAACACCCGCCATTGTAATCAAGACTGTAATTACTTAAAACAGGTCAAATCTCAAAACATGAACACTGAGATGGAGAGAAAGGCACTGATGTAAAATGATGCTGATTGAATTTCACTGAAGCTCATGGAAACATACTGCGGTGAGACGGTAACGCCGACGGACATTTAGTCAGTATTTGCGTTAGTCGCTCATTAAAGTGCCCAGAAGTGAAGCGATGGTTACTAAAGATGGTTTATCTCGCTCTATCACACGAGAAGAGAAACCGTGTGAAACGTCACTGAAGAACCAGCCTTTCCTTTAGAAATGAAAAATATATACATTCGCATACAAATACACATTTAAGATTTTTAAAAAATATTACCCAACATTTTATTTAAAGTTATATTCTAGATGTTATGGCAGCTAAAGGAAGAATGATTTTAATCACTAGTTGCATCCTTACACAACCAAGTTAAGGCTGCACAAATTTCAGTGTAAATACACAATGCTGCATTAAAGCCAGATTACATGATGCCTGCTCAGCCCTAGCGTCAAAGCATACAGCGGGAATTACTGTGAATGCATAAGCCACCTCTGAGTCTGTGTAAAGATGCCTAAATGCCACTTCAGAAGCGCTTCTGTGCCGCCTTTGCAGTGCAAACTTTACAATACCTTACATTTGTTTAGTTAATCCAACCAAGCCTAACTTACAACATTATACACTAACACCGGGCCCTCGCCCGAGCTAAAGTATCCAGATGCAAAACTGTTGCCCACTCTGAGATTAAGAACCCAGCAGCATCACTTTAACTCTCACTCCAGCATCATTAATGACTGCGTGTAATAATTAATTACTCCTGCAGGCCAGCAGTGATCTGCGTCTCTTTCTGCGCTGCTGTCTGTCACGCGAGGACAAACCTCCACATCTACACTTGCACTCTCTGTCTGAACACAGCCGAACTGAAACGACCTGATGAATCCGTAAGAAACTGAAGTGCGCTTTCAGTGCGTGTGTTCCTCTAAAGCCCGTCACAGAAAACACATCTGACTGAATCACAGCGAGCACCTCAGCCGTTGTCCCCGAGAGCCGCGCGCGTTCCGCCTCCGCCCGGACAAGACCGGCTCCTTTATGAGCCCAATAACCACAGCGTCGCTCTCAGGAAAAAGAAACTTAAACTACACAAACACGTACGCGCTCGGACTGACGCACGCATACACACACGCCCGTTCCCCGCCGGCGGAACGCACCGGAACGTCACGCGGGCGTCGGCACATCGCGCACCTGTGCGCCGTCAAACAGGTAAAGCCGCATTCACGGGCTATATTTAACCTGACCGGAACACCGAGCAGCTGTTTACCAAAGAGGAGGCGCGCGGCGCTCGCATCTGTTATGCACCCGGAATATTCCAGCGGTGATTCGCCGCTGCGCGCCTCGGAACCGGATCCATCCGCGCAGAGTTCCTGCTCAGCCGGTTCCGCGGATCATGCGGCGATAAGACGCGTAACACGAGCTGCGCGATGAAAAGGTGAGAAGAAAAGAGGCTGAACTGGAGCCGGACAAAGCGCCGCTGTGTTCCCGTCTGGAAGTGGGCCACCGGGACAGGAAGCGAACCGAATCCCGGCAGGAAGAGCGCGCTGATGTGGCACTGCGCACGTGACGCGCGCTAATGATCGACACGCGTCAAAACGCTCATCCAGAGCGCTCCGAGACGCGTTTGACTGCTGCGAGCGATGGCGATGTAGTCCTGAATCTGGGTGCGTTTCTGCCGCGACGCTCAGAGATCCGTGATTCGCTCCCGAACGAGTTAATAATAACGCGCGTGAAACGAGGCGAGCGTTTATGATATCAATCACACTGCGGCGCGCTGCTATGTGGCAGTATCTTAGCAACGCCTCCGCTAGCCGCGGAGCTAATGTATGCTAACCGAGAGCAACGCACACAAAACGACGCACGGATGAAAACAACCGCACAAAGCGTTGTACACGACTCTCGCCGCTGCAAACGGGCCGCTGAGTGTTTTTGTTCGCGTTAGCATCACGCGCGCAGCCGCGTTCATGGGGGATCGCGAGAGCCACGGAGCGAAGCGTCTTACCTGAAGAGCAGCAGGAATCCGCGGCACGCGCAGCGCAGCGTTCGCTCTTTTATTTGACTATTGCGTGATCGCTTGTGCGCGAACGTCTCTTTTCTTTCAGCCGGCTCACGCGTCACTTCCGCTCGACCAGCGCGCGCCCCTCACTTCCGCCCTGCTTTATATCCGCACGCGCGGCGGCTGAGCCACAGAGAACAGTTCATTAAAAGTTAAAATATGTAACAAATGGGACATGCTGACAATTAAACGCCCGTGCAGAAGGAACTTTTATGAGCTGAAGGGCCTCGTGCAGAACGATTCCAAAAACTGTTCAGAATTCAATTCATGTTGTAGAGCAACACTTGAAAGTCTTATGAAGTATTGTTAACCACAGTCTTACTGCAAACAGCTAGTCTCGAGCCCATCCTAAATCTGATGTCATGAATGAACGGCTCTGTTGAGTTCCTCTGCTGCTCAGCATCCTCAGGCCTGAACCTTGAGCCTTGGGTTGGCAGATAAGCCGGAAGTGATGTGAATGCGGGAAAGCAGGAGCGCGAGAACAGGGCTGCGTTCAGCTCCGACAAAACGGTGCAAAACGTGTTTTAAACGGAAACTGGTGCGTTGAACTCTGTTCTGATGACGCAAGAGTTGCAGCTATGGCAGCTGAGAAGGCCATTCTTTGTGTTCTTTGTGAAGAATTTTCGGAGCCTGATGAAATCGGTATAAATACGTGTTTAATACTGCAAAATATGCTCAATGTTACAGTCACTGGCCTTGCCCTCCAGAATAAAGGAACATCCCAATCGAGTGAAGGGATTTGTGCAAACTGTGGTTCTTAATTATTGTGATCCAACATTTGCCTCGCATTTCAGGATGAAAAGACAAACATTTCAGGTGAAGGATAATCCACTTCTTACCTCTGAGACTGTGTTATGATCTATATGACCTTATTATTTTCATTGTGAGTATTAGGCTTATCATTATTGCTGATCACTCTTGTTGTGCTATGATATTGTAATATTTACCATTATATAATCAGAGGGGTATAGAAAAGTTTATGAAAGTGTCACTCCACAATACAATAGCAAAATATATAAATATGTATAGTATTTTTATGTTACATTATTAATCAGTGTCTATCACACCTTCCTGAGGAAAGGATATGGACCACAAGACATTGCAATTACTAAATGATATTTAGACAGACTTAAAGAAGTTCCAGATCTATACTTGTGCTCTTATTATTTCAGTTATTTGCCTTTAATGTAAATAAACGTGCAAACAATATACTTGCTGTTGTGAATTTATTTGGATGTTAATTACATTGTGCGAGCTGCCTCTTTAATACTGCGTGGTTTACATACATGCTGCTGACATGTGTGACACACCCACCAAACAAGAGAAAATCGGTGCACACCGGTTTGAGCTTGAACTTGCCCCAGCTGACGGCTGATGAGAGGAAGTGAACAGAACAGTCTTTTGTCCTGAAAAACAGAATATGATTTTTGTGTGGGTTTTCATTATTGATGATGCAGCAGTGATAGTACAAGCAGGGCCGCATTAACCAGTGGGCTAGAGGGGGCTGAAGCCCCGGGGCCCGAGCAAGGAGGGGGCCCGTGATTGGCTGAGGAGTAGCTTGACGGACATCAGTAGCCCCACCACGACCCTCACTGTTTAGCGCTATTATTTAGTGGAGTTGTTCTGTAAATTCCATGCATTACCATTAGAGGTTAAAACGTCACATTTGAATTTGGTTTACCAATCAAATGCATTTATTATATATTTTACTTTTGAACAAACTGTGCACGTAGCATATCTATCAGATGATCGCTGCGCCTAATGTCTGCATTCAGCTCTCCTCACTTGTTCTGGTGTAATCTAGAAATGCTCATGCAAAGAACAGTCTTCGATTAGTAAAAATGCCAACTATTCTAAAAAAAAAAAAATGGTGAGATAAAAATGAGGAGAGAGGGGAAAACATGAGTGAGTCACTAAAACACACACAGCTAGTTTATTTGACTAAAGCTGATGATGGAGAGGGAGTTGTGGAACCGCAAATGGACCGGACACACGAGCAGATAAAACACATCATCCCCACAGATTTTAGGTTAGTTTGATTATTAACTTGATAGATGTATAGTGCTTTTTGTGTTTGAACAAACTCTATAGGCCTAGGGCCTAGTATTATGGGTTGAGAAATTCATTTTAAGCATTGTGATTTAAAAACTAATTTAACTGTTCAGGGTTCAGGGACAGTGGCAGAATTCACTTGCTCGTACAGCGCCTGACTAAACTAGTTATTTTTCGCGCCTTGTGTTTAAACGTTCGAATACACATATGTGTCAAAATGCTTGTCTCCTCGTCAACACAGTCATATGTGTCTTAAATGAACGTTAATAGTTAAAGATAAAGCATGTGCACTAGTTGGCTATTATGAGATCCTGGCATTATA